ATATTGAAAAATATACTATTTTTGTATGATAATTATGGGTTTTGTATTTTATTTTAATAGAAGTTGATGTTGCTTTTGCAATTATCCATCAATTTTTTAAAATTAAACACTATCTACAGATTTGCATCGAAGCGTTTCTTATGATAGTGATTTGAATCACTGTCAGATTAAATCTATACTGGACCCAACTATGCCGCGACCCCACTGTGCTGGGTTTTTTTTAAATTAATAATATTTTTGATATAGTTTTAATTTTACTTAATTAATTAGCCATAAGTGATCAATTTTTATTAGATATGACTTATGATATTCAAGAACAAGTAGTCGAAAAATTAAAGAACAGCCAACATTTTGCTTGGCAGTTTGACGAATCTACAAATGTTTCCGATTGTGTTCAGTTTGTAGTATTTGTGCGCTTTGAAGCAGATGATAGTATCATGGAAGAAATCTTATTTTGCAAAGAACATCCTGCAAACATTTCTGGCCAGTGTTTGCACGATATGTTTTTAGAAAGCACTTGCGATTACGATATTGATTGGAAAAAATGTATCGCTATTTATAGTGATGGCGGTAAAGCTATGACTCGTAAAATTAGGGGACTCATTGCGAAATTGAAATCGATAATGCCAAACGTATCCTGAACACACTGTTTTCTTCATCGATAGGCTCTATCTTCTAAGGTAGTACATTTTGATTTAAATGATGTGCTCAAGGAAGTAATAATAATTGTGAATTCTATCAAAGGTACAGCCTTGCAAACCCGGCTATTCAGAATCGTTTACAAAGATATGGGCTCACTTCATCAAAATCTCCTTTACCACACAGAGGTCAGGTGGCTATCCAAAGGAAAGGTATTGACAAGAGTTCTAGAACTGAGAGTTAAATTGTTAATATTCTTACAAGATGCAAATCTGAATATGCTAATCGTTTTTCTGACCTTATTTGGCTCTTGAAATTAGTATTTTTGGCAAATCTTTTTAGCCACCTTAATAATTTGAACAACAACCTCCAAGGTAGAGAAGAAAACATTTTAACAGCTAAAGATAAAGTTAAAGCATTTCACGCAAAACTTCGTTTGTGGTCAACCTCTCTGCAAAACAATATATTTGAGTCTTTTCTATGTGTTCAAAAGATTGTCCAAGATAACGCATCAGACCAGCGCCTTGTAGTAAGTGCTCACATTCCTTGCATGATACAGAGCTTACATAATTTACAAGAGAAACTTCTGACATAAATTCCAGACTTGCACTCTGAAGCTGACAATGGACGTAGATGGATTTTAAACCCTTTTTTAGACAAGTCAATAGATCTGGCTGATGTGACTACAAATATGAAAGAGCATCTTTCAGATTTAGCTGCTGATGGCATTCTTATGATGGAATTTTATTCGCAAAGTGTCTACGTATTTTGGATGAAATGAAAATACGAATATTCAGAGGTGGAAAGGGAAGCTCTACAATTATTAGTGCCATTCGCCACTTCATACTTGTGTAAATTGACATTTTCTGCAATGGTAGTCATTAAAACTAAAAAGAGAAATAGACTGCAATTAGAAAATGATTTGATTATTAATGTTTCAAAAATAGCACCACGATTTGATAAATTTTTGAAAAATAAACAAGCCCATTCTTCTCATTAAAATTGTGTTTTTATTGTAATGTTAGAACATTGCCTTTTTCTTTCAGCTGGCGACCCCCCGAGTGAGGCTTCGCGACCCACAGATTAAAAAACACTGCAATAGATCATATAGTTGGAAAAACATTATAACGAATTTAAAAACAAATTACAACAATACAAAACATAGCGTCATAGGAACAAATCCTAATATAACATCACGTAATCCTGAAAATTTAAAATAGTTTAATATTGAACTTTTGTTTCAGTTAGCATAAAGCAGTATAACAAAAGGATATACACAGATTTGAAAGTCTTTACAAACGCCAAAATTCGTGCTATAAAACCCATCGTACACGAGCTGCAGATAAAAATAACAGACCTATAAATGGTTGTTTCTATGGGCACGAACTTAACAAGACTCAGTTTCCAGAAGGTTATTTAGTGGAAAAGATTATTAAAAAGTGTAAAGAATGATGTTTTGTTAAGTTTGTTAGTTTGGATAGTTCACATAATAAATGGATAGATGTAATGAACATCATATGAAGTACTCATCATTTTTTTTTTTTTTTACATTTATTGTAAAAAAAACAGTTAAATGTTTAGTTAAATGTTATAAAAAAAAAATGAGTGCATGAATGAATGTCAATGATGATAAATTTATAATTTTGTAATATATGAAAGGTGACGACTTAAGCCATGCAACGAATTGTGGAGCCACTACCCTCATGGCTTCCATGCAGAAAAGTAATTCGGGTCGCCAACCATTTAGACGAGGGTTTCGATCATAAAAAACAACACCCGGACCATAAGTGGATTTAAGAAAAATAAACAAGATTAAACCAAATAATATACACTGTGATGCAATAAAGCATATCATGGAATAATAAAAAATATATATAGATATATACTAAAATATAAAGTAATATTGTAGACTATAATATGTTGATACCTTGTAGATAAAACGAAATATATTTGATTTAATGTCACCAGTGGTGGACATACATTAGTTTATCGAAGTCCATTACCTTAACACTAGGGAGAATTATTAAAGGTAAAAAAAAATAAGATACACATGAATATTATGTTAATCAGCTGTCCGTTCGCGCGAAAAAGGCTGAAGTTGCTTGGTGTAAGTTTAAAAATCTGCAACAAAACATAGAAATCGCTCTTCCATAATGAAAAATATCGTTTAGAATTTGAGGAACTTTATTATGAGGCAGTTTCCGGGTGTGAAAAGCCTATTAATAAATTGAATAGAAATTTTAACACAGATAATGCTGTAGAGATTAGACCTTCGAATGTCAATGGTAAACAAAAATCTAGGGGTGCATTCGTTTGCAAAATTAACTCCGATTAACTTACCATCTTTTTCCGGAGATTACACTGAATGGTCGTCATTTCATGATATGTACCTAGCAATTATACACTCAACTTTATCGCTTTCAAAAGTGCAAACAATTTTCAATTTGAAATTGTCACTATGTGGTAATGCCGCGAACGTAATAAAATGGATTGAAATAACTGATGTAAATTATGATTATGCTTGGTCAACATTAATAAATCGATACAACAATAAAAAAATGTTAGTTCAGGGCCATATTAAAGCGCTTTTCAATATTCACCTATGATAAAAGAATCCTCTTTTAAATTAAGATATTTAATTGATAATTTAATAAATAATATGAACGCATTAGAAGCTCTCGGCCAAGACCCTAATTTATGGGGTTCATTATCAGTTCATTTGATAACGTCAAAACTTGATCCAAAGACATTAAAAGAATGGAAAACCGAAGCGCCCAAAATGTTTGTACCTTCCGTAGCTACATTAATGGACTTTTTGGATACACGTTTTAAAATATTGGAAGTGGTAGAATCTTCTTCGTTGATAAATGTTCGACAAAACAATTTTAATTTATTTAAAAAAGATAGTGTCTTTAAAAGAGAGCAAATTCGTACCACAGCAATGATCATAAACAATAATGTTATTAAATGTTTTTTGTGTAAATCCAATCATACAATTTACAAATGTTCTAATTTTTTATCACTTTCGATTAATAAACGCGTAAGTTAAGTAAATGATTTAAATTTGTGTAAAATTGTTTAAGACAGCATCCTAGTAGTAAGTGTTTTTCTCGAAAATGCATTAAATGTGACATACTGCATAATTCCTTTTTGCACTTAAACAATTTTATAGGTAATAAAAATAATAACGAGTATCATATCAATAATAGCGAACAACAATTTACATCAATGAGCGCAAATGTATTCAGAAAAAAAGCGAACCGGTATTATTATTTATAGCCGTACTTATCGCATATAATCGTAATGGTGAACCAGTTATCTGCCGCGCGCTACTTAACACCGGCTCACAAAGCAATTTTATTACCGATAGTATGGCCCAAACATTCAATTTAAATAGACGCAGAGTCAATTGTGCTATTACTGGTATTCAACTGTTCACACACACCGCTAGTAATTCAGTGGCAATAAAAATATTGTAGCGCTTATCCAATTACTCCAGTAATATAGAATGTTTAGTGCTATCGAAACTTAAGAATAACATTCCTTCAAAATCAATTAACTTTCAATTAATATTCGTGCGTACTATACCAGGATGACCCTCGTGTAGTATTTTTAACATATGCAGTTGAATGCTCTTAGGTATTACCACTCAAAAACCTACAATAATGCAATCTTTATCGACCGATAACTCATTCCAATGAGGGGAAACTTTGGGTTAAATGGAACTAACAACTGACTATTACATAAAGCTACTTTAGCCTAGTGAAATGCTTCTTCGCATTCTGATGACCATTCCCAACTAGTATTAATTTTTGTCAATTCATATAGCGGAGCTAACGAAGTTGAAGACATTGGAATGAACTTATTATAATAATTTATTAACCCTAAAAAAGGTTTTTAATTGCGTTATATCACTAGGTTTAGATGCGTTAATTATTGCATCTAATTTATTTTTACCTGGGTGAATACCATCTCCGTCAATAATATGACCTAAAAATTTCACACTAGTACAATACCATTTACATTTACTAAAATTAACTTTTACTCTATGTGCATTTAACTGTTGAAATACTTTGTTTACTGTTTCACGACAATTTTGTTCATTATTACCACCAATAATGGTATCGTCCAAATATACTTATACATTAGGAATATCTAACAATAAATTTTCCATTGTTGCTTGAAATTTAGCCGGTGCTGACGCAACACCATAGCATAACCTATTATATTGATACAGGCCTTTATATGTGTTAATCGTTAGCATCGCGAGACTACTAGGTGCAACTTTTAGCTGCAAATAAGCATCAGATAGATCCACCACAGTAAATACTTTAAAATTACATATCTCATTGAATACCTCTTCAACTCTAGGAAGTGGGTGTTGGTCCACTCTTAAAGCTGGATTTACAGTAATCTTAAAATCAACACAAATACGAATCTTACCATTATTTTTTGGTACTACTACTATAGGTAATGCCCACTCACTACTTACTACTTTAAAAATTTTATTTTTGCATTTTAAATGGCTTAATTCATCTTCTACTTTTGATCTAAGTGCATATGGTAATTGATATGCTCTATGAAATCTTGGAACACAGTTATCTTTTAAAGTTAAATTTACTTCATACCCAATAATACTATCATCCAAATTATTATTATTAGAAATGAAATACGGAAAATTTCTTTTAATTTCATCAACAATTTTATTTTTATCCTCTATTTTGCTTATAAGTAACTGATTTTCTCTTAGATTCACCTCACTCGTTACACTAATGAACATTTTCCTCCAATCAGGATAAAGTATATTTAACCAATTCCTACCTAATAAACACTTACACTCTTTTGCTGGACACGGGCGATTATCATGATTTCTCCCACACCGAAAACACTGCCTGACTGACCATTAATTTGAGATGACTGATTCTGCGGCGGATCCCTGACGTAATTTTGATTTGATGGACCACTTCGACTACTAAATTTACTATTTTTCCCTTGGAACTTGTTTATATTTTTATTAAACACCGTCGTGGGATTATTTGTGTTTTTCTTAAATTTCACGTATAATTTAGTAACCGCATTAATTTGCGAATAACACTGGTTTATTTGGCTAGTTTGATTACCGAATAATTCGGAATTTAAGGCGATTTTACATGCTTTTTCAAACTTTAAAGTCTTCTCAGCAAGTAATTTGCGTTGTATTGATTCATCCTTCAGACCAACAATAAGACGATCCCGCAACGTATCGTCGAATTCGCAAAAGTTTGCTAAATTTTTTAAATTATCTATGAATTCTTTGATAGATTCACCTGCCCGTTGAACACGTTGATTAAATTTAAATCGTTCACTCACTACTAATCGACGCGGAGAGAAAATTCCTTCAAGGATAGTGATTAATTCATCATAGACTTTATCACCCGGTTCGTCTGGCAAACATGCTACTTTCAAATGATTATACGTTTCAGGACCAATATATGCAATTAAATAATTTGCCTTATCTGCCTCTTTGACTTTTAGCACGGTTAACTGTGCTTCTAATCGGTCTAAATAATTTTTAAACGGCTCCCGCTCTGGCTCGAATGCCAAAATAAAATTTGCTATACCAGACATTGGTATCTGTTTTAATTTGACATTTTAAAACACAGCACACAAAAAAAATCCACTCGTCGCCATTTTTATGTACGATAAGGTGACACAAATGATGCAATACATGGGTGTCTAGTATACAACTGATTTATTAAACAAAAAGATACCACCAAACGGCGATAACAATTCCGATAAACCGGTTCAAATACATATCAATATCAAGCATCTATAAAAATAAAAAATATTAATTTGTTCATTTTTGAAAAAGTTATGGCAGTTTTAAGAAAAAAAAAATTGAAAAAGATAGCAATTTTTAAATTTGAAATTTTTTTGTAGGTTTCCCCCCTTTAACGGGTAACGAGGGAATTTTTTTCAATTTTTGAGGTTAATGTCTTCGACTAGATACGATTTATAATCTTTTGATGTATCGTTGAAAGAAATCCGTTCGGTGAGAGCTGAGAAAAAGTGGTAACAGACACAAAAAAAAAGAGTTTTTAGACTCTCAAGTGAGCTAGTTAACTAAACCCCTCGCCATGTAATGGTCGCGGCGACTGTGTCTACTGCAGTCGATTGATGTCTCACCATGATTTCGGACTTTAAATCTTGGCGATTGGCGTACTTTTGTACTTTCTCTTCATGCCAGTTTTTGGTGTTAGTGGTCGAAACAACTTGCACATCCAGGATAACGGATCTTTGCCTCTTGACTCATCATCAATAGTGGCGACGAGGTCCGATTTGAGATTACCATTCCTAAGCGCGTAGAGGTGATCACGCTCTACTCGATACCCTTTCTCGGTAAGCGCTCCAGCTATGCGCTTCACGACATGATCGTGTCGGAGAACTGTACCCCCATGAGTCCTAGGGCACACTTGTACAATGTGCGCAAGGGTTTCAGAGAGCGCAGCACAGCCCCGGCATGACACCGGTATGTTGCGCCCCCGTCCAACTCGCTTGCAACTGGGCAGGGCGTTAATTCAAATCTTGGCGTACTGATTGAAGTCACGGGCAGTTATGCCATCCGGCCTGTGCATGTTCGCTGTCGATTCCCAGATATCAGGATAGAGTTTCAAATCAGCACCATCCACCGAACTTGGGAGAAGTTCCTGACTAGTCATCACTACGACTCTATCCACTCGGCGCCTTAGGGTTGCTACCACACCCGTCCCGAAGAGACGAAATGCTTCACGCACCGCTGGAACCTGCGAATATTCGAGCTTGGTCAACCTAGCGAATCGATTTTTAGGAACGAATCTTTCAAAGTCAGCGACCCCTAGGCCCCCAGATGACGTGAATGTACGAGTTGGGGCACGAAGTCGGGAGATCAAGCCATTTCCGAACCACGCGTCTAGTCTCGTGACTTAATTGTCTTAACTTGCAATCGGGGAGCTTTATGAAAGTGAGTCCGTGGACAAACTTTGGGATCACATAGTCCCGTGCAATTGCAAGTATCATTTGCGGCGTCATAGGGGCGGCCGAGACCGCCTTCAGAGCGCTGACAAGAGACGCGCATTTTAATCCGGAAAGGTAATTTCCCTGAAACTCTATGCCGAGATACCTCCCGAATTCACCTATCTGGGTTACCACTAACGACGAACCCCCGAGGGTGTAAGACGTGGCGACCACTTTCAGTTTGAGATCCCGCCCCGAAGGAACCAGGGTAAGAGTTGCAGACTTCGTTGAGTTAAGCCTCAAACCGACCAATGCTAAGCGAGAGGTGAACTTTTCGCACGACAACTGCAACCCCCGGGCCGTCTCCAACATGAGAATAACATCGTCTGCGAACGCTAGAGCATTCACCCGCTTGTTGCCCAGCATATAGCTTAAATAATATTACTGTACCTCAGTGTGTTGTTTTATAATATTAACGTATTATACGATAATTTTATAATTGTTATAGGTTTCATACAATTTATTGATTTGCAACTCACTCTGATACCCATAATTATACTACAGCATATAGTGTACTTAATACTGGTGACTCTTATTGATTTACAACCTATAACGATCATGTCTGTTATGATTTTTTCTTAATAAACCCAAAACTGTAGAGAGCCGATAAGCGTTGACACGACTTACATCGCAAAAATTTGGTCGACACTGGTTTTGAGGGTAGAGACCCGTGGGCCGTTTATTAAATGAGCGACAACAGGTTATTTTAACAAAAAAAATAAAACAAACCAAAAAGATAAACACAATAATAATAATCTTCGCATAATATCGCGGCACTTTCGCTGGCGTCGACGACGCGATGTCCGGCGTGATCCTTGGTTAGCAGCGTTGTAGGCGTCGGTGCGCGGGTGCGGATCGGTTGGTCGACGTTGTCGCTTTCACAACGGGGAGAAGACTCTCGCATCATTTGCGGCGGGTCGTCGTCGGTTGTGCGGCATTTGCTGGACTTTGCATCGTAGCGTATAACACGCGGTGTTGGTCAGTCAAATACTCATAGTAGGGCGACGGCTGATAAAGGTGGCACGAGTCGTGGGGTATCGTGTATAATGAAGCGACGAGGGCCGTGTCAGCGTTAATTATTAAATAAAATAAAATAGGGTTGTTATTTGAAAATCTGAAGTTTATATAAGTTTTAAGCATAAGGGATGGTGGTACAAATTTAATTTTGCTTGTGAGTAAGCTCATTAAAGATCCATAATGAATAAAAAAAAATTATTTATAAAATTTTTATTTTTTAAGATATTAAGTGAGATATCAATTAGCGGATCACTCTGCATAAAATTAATATATTTTTAATATTATAAATTTTAAAATATTCTATAAATTTAGTTTTTATCTCGTATGAAATAAAAATGTAGTATAAATATAACTTATATTAGTTTATTGGAAATAATACTTATTTATAAATATACTTTGTATATTATTAAATCATATATTGTGTAATCATGATAATTCATAAATTTGCAATAATATTATCAAAATATAATCTATAGTAGAACTGACCATGGAAAAATATTTAAATATTATGGTAATAAACGTATTGTTAATAGAAAAATTGTGTTTTTAAAAGACGTATCTGAATAATTATTGAATGGTAAAATATGATTTGATGGCATTATTGAAAAGTATAAGGTTATTGTGCATAACTTTAATTCGATTTTCATTTAGATATTTCAATTTAATGTAAATATCAGAACGTATTTTCTCAAACTCTTCCTTGCGAATTTGGTAATTTTGGAGCACATCAAAAACGCTAGCTAAGTTAGAATTAGTCATCGGATCCAAAACTTCAAATTCTGAACGAAACGCATCATATTCAATACGCGCATTTTCATATTTCCTTATAGTAATAAGTGTATCCTCAATAGTTTTATAGCATAAAGTATTCACGGATGATACGAATTTATCAATTAATTTTAATAGTTGTTGCCCATTTTTCGATAAATTTATTTGCGTTTCCGAATTGAGGACAAATTCTTGTTCGAGTTCGGGCGATTTTTCGCTTAATTCTGCGAAAGTATTTCCTAGTAATTGTTGGGTTTGAATGAAACATTGAAAGTGCTGTGCCATATTTTTAGCAGTTTTTAGTATGATCTCATACTTTTTTTGAGTTTCACTTAATTTTATAATTTCATTTTCCAACTCTACGTCTACAGTTTTCAATGAATATCCCAGTATTTCATTTATACGTTGTTTGGTACGCTTGTATTTTGAAACACTCCAGCTTTTGACAACTTCAACTTTAGAGCAATATTTTGAATAAAGTATTTCTCCGTTTTCAAGTGTATTCTTTAAACTTTGCATATTTGATTCATCATTTTTATCCGTTATTGGTTTTGACTCGCCAATATTATCCTTTTTTATACCTACTTCCATTTTTACTTATTAAAAGTATTTTATACTTAAAATAGATTTGATATGTTTTAATCTTAAATTATATAAATAATATATAAAAATGCAATTACTTTTTCATAGTAACCGTAAATATGAAAACTTTTACATAGAGTGTTTGTTAAACAACTTAAAAATAAATAAGAAGAAATCGTTATGACGACGTATGTTGATTTGAAAAAATCAAATAATCAAGATCACTTAATTATGTTAAAATGCGAAAGATTTTTACCTATGCATATGTAAAATGGAGATAAGAGGAAATATGGCTTGAAATAAAGAAAGTTATATTTTAATGAGGTTCATATAAAAAAATATCATTAAATGTATATAGTTTAAAAACTAAAAAAAATGCTTTTAAAAAACATCGAACTAATATTTGCAATATTTTATGTATTATACATGTATATTAATTCAAAAAACTTTGAATACCTGTTGTTTAGCCAGCTCCTTTGTTTTATACACTCCCTGATGATTTTCATGTAACAACTTTCATGTAACAATTTTCATGTAACAAGCATATGCTTCCTTAATTGGGCAGGTATTACTACTCTATTTCCATAGTACACTAGTTCTTCCTCTATTAATTTTTCTGATCTTATTTTAAAGAAATTATTAATTTCACTTTCTTCTTTTAGTTTCTTAGGCCATCCATTCAAATAATAGTCTTTTACTCTTTTTATTACTACATCATTATCAGTCTCTAATTTTAACTCATTCAGTTTTTCTTTGCTATACCTAAATTCTGCTATTTTAACTACATGTATCAAATCTAGCATAGATTCATCTTCTATTTCATTCTTTTTAATTATATTCCTTGTTAATAAATCTGCGATAAACATTAGTTTACCAGGTAGATATTCAAGTTCAAAATTATAGTTAATTAATTTAAGTTTTATCTTTTTAACCTATTATTTTCAGCTTAGTCAATATTTTTATTTACTATTGACACTAATGGTAAATGATCACTATAAATTTTTACATTTTCATGACCAAATATATAATAATGAAATTTTTTAATTGCAAATATTAATAACTCTTTTTCTATTAATGCATACTGTTTCGATTTCGATGTGGACTGTCAAGAGTCTTCTTCTTACACGCTAAATGACATCTCAAATCAAAACCAAAATATATGACTACACAACTCTCTTCATTTATTAATAAACTTAAAGCATTAATAAACCCTCTTATATCACTTCTTACCACAGTCATTGAAAATCTTATAAATAATTTGAAACCACTCTACATATTTGTATGGAACGTTAACGGAATTTTACAACATTTAAATGAATTACAACTAGTTCTCAATGAAAACAAAATTAAATTCCCAATTTTTTCGGAAACTCACCTAACTGAAACCTCTTCACTCGGGATACATGGTTATGATATTATTAGAGCTGATTACCCAGATGGTACTGCACACGGAGGTGTTGATCTCCTCGTCTCCAATAAAATTGATTATCTCTCTCTTCCACCATATTTGTCCACAAATATTCAAGCAGCAAGCATATCAATAAAAATAAACTCTATCACTATTTCCATCTTCTCATGTTACTTCCCTCCAGGTAGACTTTTTCCTTCGGCCAAACTTAGTAATTTCTCTCAAACTTTAAGCTTCAACCATATCATTGGCGCTGACTTCAAATGAACACGGCATTACTGGAACAACTGGAATTAAGGTCAGAACTTAAACATCTACTACTAATACTCAGCTTATTCACATACTACACAGTACATTACAATTAATATGTTATATTTTTATATGAATGATTGTATAAATTTTTGTTATTGTCAAACTCAAAGAATTATAATTTATTTCTTCTGTTAGCAAAATTGTAAACAAACCGATTTATATATATGTAAATAAAGTTAAATACCATTTCATTGGCGCCCGGACATGAGAGGACGTGACAACCTTAGGTCCTAATGTAGAGTTTTTGAGGTTATTAAAAGAAAGAAATTCAGTAATAATTTGGTAAATGTAAAAAAAAAGTCGAAATAGACTAGGTGTATGGCAGCTAAAGAGCCGAAATAGACATTAGTTTGCGCCGAAATAGGTGAAACATAACCATTAATAAATACATTTTACTTTAGTTAATATACTGTAAAATCTTAATTATATAACAACAAATAATTATACTGTAGTACTTGGTCTGTTACTGTTGCCAAAAGTATTTAGAATACAACAATTAAAAAAAAAAAAAAGGTTTTTAAGATTGAATAAACGTGTGTTAATTGAATAGGTATAAAAAAAAAAGAAAATTGAATTGGCTACTTATACATATTTATATATATATTAAAAAAAAAAAAAAGAAAAGCCTTGCTAGAAATTTGTGGTTTTTGTAAAAAAAAAAAAAAAGTATACTCATAGTAATACTTTATTAGTTATTTATTGATGTTTATTTGGTGTTTACTATAATAATTATTATTTTTTAGAGTTTAAGAGAGATATAAAATTTAAAATTATTACTTCAATACTGAAAAAAAAAAACTAGTTATTATTGAATATCTCAATATAGTTACATACAATTTTTTTTTTCTAGCAACACTAGCATAATTACAGTGATAACTATTTTTGTTATCACCATAAATTTTGTTTCTTTTGGTATTTTTTTTTTACATAGTATATTCATAATTAAATTTTAATCAATAATTATTGTAATTATCTTATTTTACTGAAACTTACAATACTTTTGTTCCTATTCTCTATCTATCATATCAATATATATATATATAAAAAAATTTACATATTAAATATTTAAGACTGATATTTATACTCTTGATATTAATCATTAATTTAGTGTGATACTTTATGTCAAGGATGGTCTAAAAGATTAATTAATTAATTTAATTGTTAATTAATCCTAATAAGTGATTTATTTGATGTGTGTTAAAGTGTTTTAATTTTTTTTTATTAAAAATAATACATTTTTGTTATTTTTGGTGAAAATTATTATATATTTTTTTTATCTAAATCAGTGGATAATTTATTTATTACACAAAGTTTAATTTAAAGTAGCTTTGGTATATATATATTAAAAAAAAAAAAAAAATTATAGTAATAAATTTTCAATTTAACCATATATTTTGTTCATTGTGCATATCTATTGAATTAAATTTTTATGTTGCATTAGTTAAAATTTTTTTTTTTAGTGGTTATTTATTAAATTTTACGTGATTTTAATTGAAAAAAAATTTTACCATTATGGAGGATGATGACATTGTGGATTGTGAAGAAAGTCACAACGATGATGAAGAGAACAGTAAAGACATAGAAGAAGAAGAAAAAGAGATAACACTGAAACACTTATATAATTTTATGACACAACAGATGGAAACAAAACAACAAATAGAAGATATAAATAAAAGAATTGATATACAAAACGAAAAGATAGATTCAATACATAGTCATATGGCAAGAATAAGTGATAGAATTAATAAAGTAGAAGCATTTGATTGTAGGATAAAAAGAACTGAAGAAAGAATTGAAAAAATTGAAAATAATCCAATGTTAGAAAGAAAGATAGAAAACTTAGAAGGAGCTGTTGCAAATATTGAAAAAATAATTATCAATAAAAATGAGGAATATATATTAAATAAAAAACACCATTTACTATACAAGTACAGTGTCAAAATTCAAAATCGGAAAATGAGTGTATATTTAGAAATAGTAAAATAGATGACCCATTAGATTTTTTAGAAAACTTGAAAATTATATTCGAAAAGAAACCAAAAGAACTCAGGTTTAACGTTTTTGTTAAAAAGTATTTATCTGCAGAAACTTTAAGTTGGTGGAATATAAATGAAAATGAACAAAATGAAGATACAGACTTGGATCAATGGAAATCATTTGCGGAAAAGTTCGAAATTAAATTCTGGAATAAAGAATATACTCAAATAGTAAATAGTTAACAAGTGGAAGTTATCGTTATCATTATGAAAAAGAACACCCAACACAATATTTTAGTAACTTGGTGAGAAGAGCAAGAAGATCTCCAACACCACTATCAGATGAAGATATTTGCACATTTTTAGCAAAACATTTCGGAAGTAAAGTTGAAGACGCATGGATAGCGCATCCAAATCAGACTGTGGAAGGGTTGTATACTCTAGTAAATAGATTTGGAAAATTTAAAATACTAGAAAGTCTTAATGTTAACAAAAAGAAACCGAGCGATACTTATGTAAAAAACAATTGGAGTAGTAATTATCAAAACCGAAACTTCAAAAGCGCAAGGAATACTTATTACCAAAATCAAAACAATAGATATACAAGATATAATAATTATCAAAATCAAAATAAATGGATTAATTACCAGCAGAGTAATTAACAAAATAATGGAGGGAATAATAATCAGCAAAATCAAATAGGAAAGGATGGTAATAGCCAAAATCAAAAATGGAAAAAGTGGAAAACACCATAAACGATCAGAAAGTCGTCAATGTTGTATTATAAGACACTACAGATACAAATAATTTATCTTAATTAAATCTTAGTTGTAAAAACAAAAATAGAGCTGCAAAATTAATGTCTATTTTTGAAGGCCCATTTACAATAACGAAAAAAGTACAAAAATCCACATACATAGTGCGTAGTGAAAATAAAGGTAAAAGTATTATTAGGGGTATGTTTCATGTTTCACATCTAAAACTATATTACACAGAAAATAATTACTAAGAAAAACGAGTCAAAACCTTATGTTAGGTCCAACGGTTTGCCACGTTTTTTTCTTGTTATGGGGGCAGATGTAATGGTACAGTTTAGATAAAACATTGTAAATTAAAGTATTATTGTTTAATGTGCGACAACATCATATGGGATTTTTGCGTTCGCGTTATGTGGTGATAAGAAGATAAGAATGAGAGTTTGGTTATGTTTTAATGAACATCACATTTTTCTTCTTCCTCATATTAATTAAAGAATCTATATGAATTTCATGATGCATAAAAAGACACATTGGAGAGCTATATTAGAGAACCGT